ATATTGTTTTTGTGATTAATCACTATGCTTTAATTATGTTCAATTTGTAACAATAAAATTGGGGGTCACCACAACATGAGGAACTGTATTAAAGGGTCACAGCATTAGGAAGGTTGAGAACCACTGTATTAGAGAAAGGGCAAATAGCAATATTAAAATATTTCCTCTAATTAATCTTCTTTTAATGTGCATGAATTTCATGCACTGGGCCACTAGTGATTTAATAATTTACATTACTTATTGTAATACAACCTAACTATGCAGTTTCTCCTAATGTAATTATGCCTATTTACCAGTTCTCCTTAAACTATTTGTAGCTATGATATGTTCAACATATAACTCTCTGTTAACCCACCCGCCAAATTATATATATGATACTGAAAATTTATATCCTTCAACCTTTAATGCAAAACACACACACAACACAACACACAAGACAAATCAAAAGAATGAATTTTAGGGGCATGCCAATGCCCCTCAGTTAAAACCCACCAGGAACACACCTGCATTTGAACAAGTTGGGTTTATTACTTGTTTCAGGGTGGGAGAATACACACTACGGGGAAGGAAACATGGGGTCTCCCAAAGAGAGGATAGTTGAAGCCACCTATTGTAGGATTTGGGCCTTGGTTAGGTGATTGATGGAGGTTCTAAGGAAGTGAGGGTTCATTTTAGATTGGATGCTGTCAGGGTATCTCAATAAAACCTCATCTATAGGGAGGGCCAGCTAGAGAGCCGATAAATCAATAATTGGTAAACAAGTAGCAGCTACTCATTTTAGGCAAGAGGAAGCAGTGTTGAGTAGTTTTTTGGGGGCACAGTGGCCTTGACTTTGTGCTTAAGACAAAAGTATGAAGTGGCCTTGTTTTGCCACACATTCTCATGTTCTCAGGGTAACCTTGTTTGAAGTTGGTATTATATAAAATTTTAAATATCCAATAGGAGAATAACACAGCTTAGCTGTGAGCATCAGGCCAACTTCAGATTTGAGGCAGCTTTTTTCTTACTTGGGCACCATGCTCCAGGTTCATAGCTATAAACTGGGAAAGCAGGAGTACTCAGAAGAGAACCTAATGAAACATGTGCCAGCTTTATAACTGGGAAGATGAGCACATGATGGCTTTCCTCTCATGGGCTCACCTACTTGTAAGGTGTTAAATTCCTATTTATAGATTCAAAGAAATGTATAAGTTGAAGTAGAGGTATTAAACTCCTAGTAAAGTTGAATTCTTCTAACCTGAACAGTTCATACTATGGGTGGATGAAAGAGCAAAATGCAGAGCAAAAATGTCCTTGGGGCCAAAATGGCTGGGTGAAAATAGGCAGTGAGAGCCGTGTTATCTGGGAATGCCCCAAGGACCAACATGTGCTGGTCCTGCCACTCCTCTCTTAGCACTGGCCCAGAACTCAGACAAACCTTTCGAGGCTGGAGAACTTCACCTTTCCTACCCTCAGCTGTTTGCTTCAGAACAGGCTTTCATGCCACTTTCACTGCCAGTGAAGTTAGCAAGATTTATAATATTGCCACTGTTGCCATTGCTGGTGCTGGATTGTGCATAGTCACCTGTTATGCCTGAATTGATGTGTCTGTGGCAGAACACTCCTGCTTGCAACACTTCCCTGGCCCCTAAGTGAGATTCCCTACCCAGGCCACCACCCAGCAAAGGTACTCTGGCAAAAAAACTGGTCTGGACTTGAAACACTTAAGCTCTTTAGACACATTAACTTACTTTTCTTCAGGACACCAGGAGAGCTGGAATGGTATCAGTCGCTGGGTCTGTCACTCCACAGATCTGGTCCTTCTGTTCCTCTTTGACTACATGGTTTGAGGCAAGAGCTGGCCCACTCATGTCATCTCTTTGTACTCTCATAGTGATTTGATCTCAGAAGCTTTGTTGCTCTGTCTGCCACTGGGCTTTGGCCAAAGTCACCTCTGTCCATCCTGACACATGCCATTAACTTCGTGTATTAATTCAAAATATATTTATTTGTATATTCATTCATTCATTTTCATTTAATTGGACTCCAGGTTAAACTCCTGGGAGAAGGGGTTGTGACCATGACCCTTCTCTGACAGAGAGCCCTTCAAGTTTTATACCCCTATGAACTGTCTTTGTCTCCACTGGTCTGTGAGTTGGTCTGTGAGTTCTCTATGTTTCTTTCTTTGTCTCTCTCTCATCCACTCTGTGTCCCACTAATCTTGTTAATTGCCCTCACCTTCTTACACTCAAATGCATCTAAATAGCCTCTGCCTCTCGAATTCCAGTAACTCCAAGTACTAACATATGAAAAGGTGGATATGGTAGGGACACCTTCCAGCAGGAATACAGGCAATTATGCTTTCCATCTGTAATGTTGGAGCTCCAATCCAGGGAGTGCCACGCTGTTCTTCGCTAGTCCAAAAACAAACAAACGAACAAACAAACAAAAAACACACGAGAGATAAGAGAGGAAGGTCATAACCTTTATTACTTACATCTGGGGAAGACTCGATGGCGGCTGGTCTGTTGGGTGAGTTTCTGTCCTAGGCTAGAGTCGGATAGGGGCTTCTAGCAGAGGAGAGAGGGAGGGAGCTGTGCTGGGAACAGCCTGTGTTCAGGCCAAGGACAAACACAGAGTCTGGTGATCTTGTTTAGCTGTCAAGGATGTGGGAAGGCACCTGGGTCTGTGCTGCTTTGCTCCTCATGGCCACTGGCCAGGCAGACGCCATTCCAGTCAGGAGGTAATTGGGCTAAATCCTGGTGTGACCCCACACCATCTCTCTCCAGGACTGCACGATGTCTCTCAATTGTCATTCTTTCTCCGTAGCTCTGCTTCTCTCTACATGTGTCTATAGTCTTAATGGATGGCTGACAGATATTATTTCTTGGAACCTCGTGCTGTGCAATGCATTCTGCTTTTATTGTTACTTTGCCTTACCACAATCCTTAATATATCCTTCTCTTCCTGAGGGCATTTTTGGTAAGCTTTACCTTTCATTTCTAACTGCTGCTATCTTCAGATTTTTGAATGAGAGAATCATAGGAATACAAATCATCTTTTGCATCAGGTCACATTGTAGGAAAGTGGTTTGACTGACGTGGCTGCACCTGAGTTGGTCAGTAGTGGAGAATCTGCCTCTAGGACAGTGGTTCTCAACCTTGGCTGCACATTAGAATCACCTGGGAATCTTTTTAAAACTTAGAAAGTGTTAGGATGAAATTTGTTGCTTTTCATCATATATTTTTTAGTGCTATTTGATTTTGTTATGATTTAATTTGTTTATTTTTATTTGTTGGCATGTGTATTTCTTTGACTAAAAAAAAAATTAGAGGTTTGATTTTTTGTTTATATGGAAACAATATTTTTGATATCTACCCTATCAAGGTTGACTCCTTAAAGTGGGTCAAGTCTCATTCCAGATCTTTTAAAATAAGCAATGAGGTAGAAAATCAAGGACACCAAGAAACTTGGACTAAGCAAATGGTTGTTCTACTGATACTTTATTCTCTACCATAAATAATATTTAAGAACCCGTAGGTCAGTGGTTCTCAACCTTCCTAATGCTGCGACCCTTTAATACAGTTCCTCATGTTGTGGTGACCCCCAACCATAAAATTATTTTCGTTGCTACTTCATAACTGTAATTTTGCTACTGTTATGAATCGTAATGTAAATATCTGATATGCAGGATGTATTTTCATTGTTACAAATTGAACATAATTAAAGCATAGTGATTAATCACAAAACAATATGTAATTATATATGTGTTTTCTGATGGTCTTAGGCGACCCCTGTGAAAGGGTGGTTCGACCCCCAAAGGGGTCGCGACCCACAGGTTGAGAACCGCTGCTCTAAGGGCAGCAGCAGTCCACTTCCAAGTAATGCTGGCACTCTGAGCCAAGCCAGCTTGAGGGGTTGGTTCTCAAATTTGAGCTTGGATTGGAATCATCTGTAGGGCTTATTAAAACACAGATTGCTGAACTCCACCCCTAGCATTTCTGCTTCAGTGGTAATTTGCCTTCTAACAAGTTCCCAGGTGATGTTGGTCCAGGAATCAGATGTTGAAAAACACTTCTAGGTGTTTGAATCAGACCTTTGATGGTCAAGTAGAAGTAGGGTTTTGTGAATAGTTTCAATCCAGGAGAATGTGTCTAGGTCTAGGTCATCTGTCAGTTGTTTTCCTGGAAATCCGTCAATTTGTAAACCCAAAACAGGTCACTCTGTGTTCTGCCCCTCCTGGCGCCTGGATTGCCATCCTTCCTCATCATAATGTTCATACTCATTTCTATGATTAAATGCTGCCACTTGTGTCTAGCCCTGGCTCCTCCCATTCCTTTGTGTATTTAGTGATATTTTTTTTATCACCTTTCCCATTCTCATTCCTTTCTAAAAATGTATTTTATTGATTTTAGAGAGAAAGGGAGAGGGAGAGAGATAGAACCATCAATGATGAGAATTATTGATCGGCTTCCTCCTGCATGCCCCACGCTTGGGATCAAGCTCGCAACCCCGGCATGTGCCCTGACCAGGAATCAAACCATGACCCCTGGTTCATAGATCGATGCTCAACCACTGAGCCACGTCAGCCGGGCCCATTCTTATTTCTTAACAGGAAAGGACTAACTGCTACTTGGATTAGTCTTTTTGTGTTTCTTAACTCAAATTTCTAAGACTGGGAATTTGGCTGGCCAGGTCATATTTTTGTGTCAGGCCCAATAGGGTTGTTAGCTGACCTTTGGATTTTCAACCCCTGTAAGTGCATATTGAGTTTTGTTGTTTGTGGTTAATGAAGGGCTGAGTAATATGGCATATAACATGGCTGGGTGGGCAGCAGGGGATAAGAGTAGGGTAGTTGGAACAAAAGTCCTGGGTACAAAGGGCCTGGGGCATGGCAAGTGCACGTGGACATTGATTTTCAGATGGTACTGACCATACTGCTTATTTTTAATAATATGGTAATATTAAATGTAATATTAAAATAGAATAGAAATTAAAATATACTACTGTTAATTAATAAACAGTGATATGTGGTTACTACAATATTGAATACTTAGTGATTGGTAAATAGTTCCTTCCCGGAGCCCCTCAAGTGCCTCAACTCATCCAAGCTGATCTGATCCCTCCCTGGGAACCCAAAGATCTTATTACTACCCAGCAACTGAAGGGTTAATCTGTGGTATAACAGAGGACTCTGCTCCAGGATAGAGTTGGATTCCATTTTGATGGCTGATGCCTGTGCGATTCAGGTTGTTCATATTTTGAATGCCACTCCCATGACTTGTATGGAAGGAGGATTCAAAGCCCATATTACGAAAGGCATATGTACAATGTTTTCTATGTGTTTTTGCATCAGTGTACTTGTAAATAATGCATTTCATAGTTTTGTGGTATTCTAAAGCCATTTTAACATGTCTTTTTATACGTTTGCACTTTTTAAGCATTCACCATTTCTGTAAAACAAGAAGAATTTGTGTCTTTAAAAAAGCATTTTTAAATGATAATCTTTCCTTGGGTTCACTCTTTTATTGTCAGAAAAATAAATTTTGATCACAAATCAGAATGAGTTGATTGTCTATAGGTTAGTATTATATTCCAATAAAACTGACCTAAGGGGAAAAATCACTTTTCCTTTACAGAGAAGAACTTATTTCATAGTAGAACTTATTTCATAGCAAATTTGTTAGAATCTCCTACAGGGTTGTAATAGAAAATAACCTCAAAGAAAACCAAACATTGTTAAATGTTTTCATTCCCAGTAGAGATTTGGCATGATGCATAGTGACTGGCCATCGTACTATGCAATGGCTGATCCAGGATTGAATAAATACAGTATTCTGAAATGAATAATGTTCATAGAACATATGATGTTTTGAAACTAGCTAGAATTTATCAACCAATAATAAAATATGTATTGCCCTGAACTTTCATAGAACAAAATTATATTTGGTATATTCTTCAACAGATGAAGTGTATTTGCTGAGAGGAACTGCATTATGTAGTTCAAATTTAAAGAATATAGACTTTAAAAAATGCAAGGGGATCCAGGAGCATTATTCAAGAATTATCTCCTTTTACTAACCCCTTCAATGTATAAAGTAATAAAAATATCCCATTCAGATTTATTAAGGTATGAAACATGACTCTAAAGCAAAATGACTGTTGTGTGTGACTTGTGGAATGAGGGTCATTACTTTAGAGTCATAAACAGTGGTTATTCCTCTTTGGGGAAGCAAAGTAGTCTAGTGAATAGATATTGGATTAGACATCAGGAAACTTAGACCCAAATTCCCACATTCCTGCTGGGCTGTAGAGACCAGGGAGAATCAGACTTATCCAGGATCTAGTTCTAAATTCTCCACTTACTAGCTATGTGAACTTGACACACTAGTTTACCTCTGAGCATTCATTCGCCCATCTGTAACATGGGATTGATATACCCAGAGCTTACATTCACTTTGTATTTGCCAGCAAGAGTGTAGCTGTTGTTTACAGCTGGACTCTGTTCTGATCCGGCCACTGTCCCCTCTGATTCATGGGTGCCCATGCTATACTGGCTGGTAAATATTTTAACTATCACTAATAATAAAACTGAATGTGTAGGGTTATTTGGAACATAAAATGAGTTATATATATATAAAGTTTTTGACATACAGTAGCTACTCATGAAATATTAGTTTTATTTTCTTCCTTCTTTTCTGTACAACTTTAAAAAAAGTTTTTCAACCTAAATAAAGGGAGAGAAATATGCTATACTAGTACACTTGTTTTCATTGTGATGTTAAAATATTAAGGGAATTGTTTATATCTTCTATTTATTCAGGACCCATTAAGCAAACATTAAGTTCCTACTCTATGCCAGGTCCTTGGTGAGCTCGTAGTCTAGGAAGAGCAATAGACAATTCAACTCTGATTTCAATCCAAACTACTGTAACAGTTAATGTGAACCTATAATGTGCCATTGTGCAAATTCAATGGACACTCCTCTAGGCAGGTACAACCTGGTTTGGCAACTGAGCTCAGGAAGGATTATAACACCACTTACTCCCTAATCTGTGTGCTTTTGTGCAATGCAGAACCTGCACAAAAGTGGCCATAAGAGTTGTTATAACAGAGGTACACATCAAGTGCTATAGGCCTGTAGTGGTAGGAGGGGCTGGGTGTTGTCCAGTGAATGGTATTTGTCCAAATTATAGATAAGGTAGAAAGCATTATAGACACGGGTATGAAAGAGATGCAAGATTAGGGGAATAGTGGATGTTCCTTGTTTTGAAGAAAGGGATGCCAATCTAAGTTATATTTACAACCTCTCTAAGTAGACAGTTTGCCATCATAACAATTAAATACTAAAACTACTTTATGTGTAAGTTAATATTTCTTCATTGTTCTTGGATTAGGTTGCGTGCTTACTGTTTTATGAAATTTTCATTTGTATTAGAAAAGTTGCTTTTGGTTGATGAGAGAACACACTGTTTTTTATTTTTGGGTAGTTACCATGTGGCAGGCACTTTATTATTATTATTTGTTAATCCTCACATGAGGATATTTTTCCCATTGCTTTTTCAGAGAGAGAGGAACTTCCTTCCTTCCTTCCTTCCTTCCTTCCTTCCTTCCTTCCTCTCTCTCTCTCTCTCTCTCTCTCTCTCTCTGTTTCTTTCTCAGGATTGCTTTGGCTTCTTGGGATCTTTTGTGGTTCTGTACAAATTTGAGGGTTTTTTGTTTTTGTTGTTGTTCTATTTCTGTGAAAAATGCCATTGGGATTTTATAGTGATTGCATTAAATCTGTAGATTGCTTTAGGTAATATGGACAATTTTGTAATGTTAATTCTTCCAGTACATGAACATGGAATACCTTTCCATTTCTTTGTGTCATCTTCATTTTTTTAAATGTCTTATAGCTTTCATTGTACAGGCATTTCACAACTCTTAGGTGAAATTTATTCCTAAATATTTTACTCTTCTTGTTGTGATTTTTAAATAGGATTGTTTCTTAATTTTTCTTTCTTATAGTTTGTAAGTAGTATATAGAACCACCACAATTTTTGTAAATTGATTTTGTACTCTGTACTTTACTGTATCTATTAATAATTTCTAATAGTTTTTTTGGTAGTCTTTAGGGTTTTCTTTATATAAAATCATGTCATCAGTTTTACTTCTTCCTTTCCTATTTGGATGCCATTTATTCATTTATATTAATCATTTTTTTTTCCTAATTGCTCTTTCTAGGACTTCCAGTAATAGTGGTGGACTTTAGTTCATGGGTCAACACTCTGAGCAACCGGCTAGGACTTTTCATTGTTGTTCTTAAAGATGGTTATTATTTTTTTTCAAATCCTCACCCAGGGATATGTTTTTATTGATTTTGGGAAGAGAGGAAGGAGGGGAGAGAGAGAGAGAGAGAGAGAGAGAGAGAGAGAGAGAGAACATCAGTGTGAGAGAGAAACGTGACTGGTTGCCTCCCTCACACACCCAGACTGGAGGCAGGGAGTGAACCTGCAACCCAGCCAGGCACATTCCCTTGACCGGGAATCAAACCCATGGACCCTTCAGTGCGCAGGCAAATGCTCTAACCATATGGTCACGCCAGCCAGGGCAAAACACACTGTCTTTTAAGGTTAATTACTTGAGATAATCTAGTGCTTTTAAAATAGACATTGGGCCTAGACAAAGATTAGTGATCAAAGGAGGCTAGAAGATTAGGTGAGGTGTTGTTTTTAATGTGGAGACTTTTATCACTGAATTATGGATATGTTTGTATAGAATATTAAATCATAGAATTTTAGAGCTTGGAGATCTTGAGTCTAATCCCCTCATTTCAAAATTACTTTATTTCCATGGCCAGTGTGGCTCAGTGGTAGAACATCTATTCATACACCAAAGGGTTGCGGGTTCGATTCCTGGTCAAGGGCTCATACCTGGGTTGCAGTTTTGATCCCCATCCCAGGTCACGGCACGTGTGGGAGACAACCAATTGATGTGTCTCTCACATCGATGTTTCTCTCTCCTCCTCTCTCCCTCCCTTCTACTCTCTCTAAAAATCAATGGAAAAAATATCCTCAGGTGAGGATTAACCAAAAAATGACTTTATTGTTCTCCTAAAAAATGATACATGCTCATTAAAAAAATTAATCAATGCAAAGTAAAAAATTGAGAGCTAAGGTTTTGAGAGCAATTCCCACCACACTGACACAGCTACCATTAACATGCAGTTAGCAGCATTCTAGATAGCTCATTGCACATATATAGACACATTTTTTCTAAAAGTTGGACCATATACATATTGTTAATCAAAAGTATTCATTTTATATTTACTAGCATTTAATAGCATAAAGGGAAAATGAAGTCAAACTGAAGAAACTATACACTTTGGAAAAATATTTATTTACCATACGGAATATCAGTTTCTAATAGATCCCTCTAAGGTGGAGGGAAAAATTTGATGAAAAAAAGCATTATGAGTTTGGTGTTTTATTATGCTTGTTCCCTTCTCATTTCAATTTTCATAATATTTTAAAATTTTAAATTATTTATTATCTAAGTATTACATATGTCTCCTCCCCTGATGCTCCCACCCCACAGCATGGGAAGATGCACCTACATTGAATTTATCTGAAAAATAAAAAAAATCAATATTAAGAAAAAAATTGTTAATGGAAGATTATAAGAGAGGGTTTCGCGTGCCAGCAAAAGTTACTGGCGTGCCAGGGGTTGCCCACCTCTGCTATAGTGACTTAATTACATAAGAATTTAGTCTCTCATCTGAAGGAAGACTGGAGTCAGGACATGGCAAAGGTTCCACGGACTCATTAGGAACCCAGCTTGCTCTGTCTTCCTGCTTTGCCAAGTTTAGTGTGTGACTTTTCAAGATCATAAGGTGGCTACTGGAGTTCTAGTCATCATATTCCAGGCAAGAAGCAGGAAGGGGGAAAGGTATAGATACAGAGACATAGAAGCATATCAACCAAAGGACTTGTATGCATGCATATGAGCATAATAAATTTTCATAATATTAACTGACTCTCTGCCATGAAAGATGAAGTCACACTTGTTTTTTCCTCTTCCCTTCCAATTTTTGTTTCATATAATAATATATCACATTGTCAAAGTTCATAACATTTGCTTTATGTTCTAGGAATTGGTTAGAAATTGCCAGATAATAGAGACCTGACTATAGTGCAGGGGTGGGCAACCTTTTTGTGAGTGCGTGCCAAAACCAGCAAAATCTCTAACTCAAAATTCTTCTGCGTGCCAACCCTAATTTTTTGAGAACATGTTACGCATACTTGATATCT